ATTTTACAAAGAGTACAGAGAAGAGAAGAATGCAAAATTAAAACTATTTTAATAAAAGTTTCCTGTAGTAAGATAGAGAGGTACTCCTGAGAGAGAGTGAGTAAGTAGAGAATTGAAGTATAAACACGCCAAGTTTGAATCCTAAATTCTTTAGAACCTATCTACATAATAATGTATCAATCAATTCTAATCTTGGTTCAACAAAAATTCATTGTAGATCATTGTAGATGCAGGATTGTATTTTAAACATTTAATTTTTACCAGTTATTAAGTGGATAAAAAGTGATGAAGGCGGACAGAAAATTATGAAGGCGGATAGAAAGTGATACAGGCGGATGGAAACTGATAATGGCTGATAGAAAGCACTACATGCGTATAGAAAGTGATAAAAAAGGAAAGAAAGTGAAAATAAAGGAAATAAAGTAAGGAATATATAGAAAATGATTGAATTTGGACAGAAAGTGAAAAAGGCGGTAAAAATAGAAGAAGGCGGAAAGAAAGTGATGTAGGCGGATAGAAGGGATAAAGCCTTGATCTAAAAGGGATCGTGAAGGCGTACCCCGGTTGGATCAAGGAGTCCACCGGAAATCCCTAGCTTCTTGAATTGAATTGAAGGCGGATAGAAAGTGATAAAGGCGGATAGAAAATGATATAGGCGAATAGAAGTGATAAAGGCGGATAGAAAGTGATAAAGGTGTTAAGTAAAAAAGAAAAGTTTTATTTTAAAGAATACAACTACACGAGGAGTAAATATCTATAAAATCAACAACGGAATTAAGTCTTTGCCACAAACTCTGATTTTGAATCCATATATCTTTGCAGCCCAATGTCGTAGACATTAGATCTTTCAAACTATAAATTCTGTTAGATGAAATAATATAGGTTTGAACTATCAAATGTTTACACCTTCAGGTTAAAAAGATATAGGGTTTAGAAAATTTAAATTTGTGGCAAAGACTCAATTCCTTTAAAGCAAAGAATTAAGCAGTAAATTAAAGGTACAAGAGGGGGGAGGCAATGTTAAACAATTAAAACCTAATTCCTGTTATTCAAACCACCTCCCCCTCTTCTTCTTGCTATACTGTGTTAACTACTTGTTTTAATTTCAACAAGAATAAAAGTTTAGAAGAAATATATGGAAGCAGGTTGAGAATATTTAACTTCATTCAATTAGAAGTTGACGCCCTAGGGTTCAAGTTGTATCTCAGGGTAGGGTCTAGAGTAGAGACTCCAGGTTTAGGGTTTATGTTGGAGATATACTGTTTACAGGACTATTTAATCCTGCTTAGTAGACGGTTAAACTGTTAAATTAGATTCTATCATTTGATTTATTTGAGAAGGGGGAGGGTGCATAGAGAGGGGTTAAGAGAAGTGACAAAGTGCCAAATGAAATTGAGATATTGGAGTTTTACTCATTTTTGATACCTAATATTTTATCAACTCGTAGTCGGATGCCAAGACAGTGTAATAGTGCCACAAACTCCCAGATTACACTGACAGGACCACGAAACTGTCCTAATATATGTTATAGGACTATAACTATAACCATCACCTTTTTTTGCAATTTTTTTAATATTTTTTTTAATTAAAAAAAAATCCACGGGCAACGCCGGGCCCTCCAGCCAGTATTGTATACTTGTCTACTTGTCTATTTAGCATTAACTTCTAGTTCTATTCAGATTTAGCATAACAAAGATTATTTCACTAAAAAAAATTCAAAAAATTCTTTGTTTGAAGCTCTCTCTTTGTTTTATAAAAATTGCTATCTTAATTGTCTAGGAACGTTCTCGAACCCTCCTCAGATCTTTAATTCTAATTGGTTCAGTCGTTTCGAGGACTGTTTCCAGCTGACTATAAATGACGTAAATAAATTTACCGATCAAAACTGTCCGTTTTAGATTCCTTTTAAGGCTTAATGCCAACTCATTGTCTGAAGGATTTGATTTTATTCTTTCTATTCTTTACTCCCCTTTGTTCTTGTTTTTATTCATTACTCCCCTTTGTTTTGTTTTTATCCTTTACTCCCCTTTGCTATTGTTTTAATACTTTACTCCCCATTTTCTTGTTTTTATTCTTTACTCCCCTTTGTTCTTGTTTTTATTCATTACTCCCCTTTGTTTTGTTTTTATTCTTTACTCCCCTTTGTTCTTGTTTTTATTCTTTACTCCTATTGAAATTTTT